GGTACAATGAACAAATCAAGATTTCAAGGTTAAAACTCTGAACTTAATGAATGTAGATAATTAACTGAACAAATAATATAACTTGACTAAAAATGTTAATGAATCATATTGGCACTTTAGAAAAGCATCACAAACATGGGACAGAATAGCTGGTACACACTAAATAAACACATAATAAAAAGCACATAACAAAATGCACATTCAGAAAAACCTTGCAATGACAACAGTTAAATTAAGAACCAAAAGCCTCTATTGAAAATTGTGGAAATGAAGCTTAAGTAAGAAAAACTTGAGCAAGACAGTGATGCTCAGACACTTAGCATCATCTTACCATTAGCCTGAAGGGACAACAACAGCAGCCAACTCACCTAGGCTATTATTGCTAACAAGCAATAATAGCCTTCTGACTTCCCAATTGATCAGACAAATTACGGTACCACAGCTTCACATCAAGGCAATGACACTGGTAATATAAAATAAATAGATGCTGGAACAAGATAAGAGAAAACATGTCAATGTTAATAATGAATACATCAGAGATAGGTTAAAATCAGCTAAATGGGAGAAGGCAGTAAGGGATGTGCTAAAACCTAGCTTAATTATGCTCCCTGCAACATGCCCCCCCCACTAGCACATTCTTAATGCCTGAGACCATAAAATCCAAAGGGCTAAGTTTATTCAACATGATTAAAAAATATTTGCCCCAGGCATCAAAACGAATGTTCAACACGCAATAGTGCTAAAATTGCCATAATGACTCTACCTATAACCATGGGTAATATTGACAGTTTATTAGACTCCTGCGTTTGGTATTTTTTTTAATCCGAGACGAGACGAGACAACAGGCTCTGTCCCGGTTCGCAATAAAAACCGGGACAATTTTCAGCCTTCCGTTGGAATTCCGGGACGATACCGAGACGAGACGAGACGTCCCGGTTAAAATAGGTACCTTAAAATTTCCCGGAATTTACNCCCGTTATTTTTTTCCCGGAATTTTCTCGTCTCGTTTCGTCTGTCCCGGTTCATTTCGAGAAAATTATTTCGAGACGCAGGAGTCTACAGTTTATTATGATGCAACACAAGACTAAAATTACACAATTATTTCAATTAAAGCCCTATACACAATTATTGGGCATGTGTCAGCAATTGACATCCAAATAAGAATACCATTTAATAAAAAAATATTCTTAAAACTCTAATTCACACAATATATATTCATATTTACAAATGTATACAGTCGAAAATTGACTCAAGAGCTACATATTTACACATTATATCATAATAGTGAAATTTTTGCCAAAATTGCACCAGTAAAAGAAGCACAATAGCAGCAAGACAATTTTTCTAATTCTTAAGAGCTAATCCATCTATGAGAATGTCTTTCTAGAATTCTAGATTAAACATTAGGCAACTCTTCTACAAGACCCTTCGATCTGGTGCGCCTCTGCAGTGACTGATTGGCACCAATCACTGCATTCCTAGCAGATATGAGGCACGCCCCTCTATTAGTTTTAAATCAGAAATCAATCTTGTAAAAAGTGATTCAGAACTTCCACAAGATGGATGATTAGCACTGACATCTGGGAGCACTTGGGGTCCTGCATCTGACAGTGTAGCATCTCCCATCTGAGCAATTGTACCAGCTTCCAGCAATGAAGTCACAGTGATTGCTTGTTTGGCAGCAATGTTGGTTGATGGTTCATCTTCCCACTCGCCAACCATTGCCAAAAATTCTGGGTCAGATGCCAATGCTCCTTCTGGGTTGTTACTTTACCTAGATGCATCAACCATCAGATCTGAATTCAAGGAAGAAAGGTCAAAATCATTGTCATCATCCCAATCCAAAGTCAATTTGTACAAATCACATGATTGCCTAGCATCACCTGACATTATGGTTTCTACTTGCTGAACAATGGGACTTGACTCAATATGGGGACATTCAACCATGGCTGTGGAAAGCCTTAGAACCTGGGTCTCACTGATTGTCTCAAAATGGCAAACTCAACATTACCCATGTAGTAATGACTTGAATACTTAAGGATTTAATGAACCACTAGATGTAACTGACAAAACTCTCCTATCTGGCTGTGTATCAACTGAATTTTCACCATCTGAACAACCACTGAAACCAGAGAATGATGAGCTCAAGTCAGCCTCAGCATCAGATGAATGAGGAGAGTTACTACTACAACCAGAAACACCTAAGACACTCGACCCACAACTTGAAACAGACGATAAATCATCACACATGGGGGTTATTGCTGCTCTAGGGTCTTGAGCCTCACTTACCACTGCACCTTGTACATCATTGCTTATTGCCATCCCTCCATCATCCTGATCTCCATGCACTTTTTCTTTGTACACAGGATGATCAGATATATATTTAGGAGGCATCTTATAAGCACGAAGCTGAGTGTGGTGAGCTCTGATCACCTCTCCCATCTCCGGGACTAACAATTGGTATGTCACCCATTATCATTAGCTGAACTCACTTGGAAGGGCCCTTTAAAAGTAGGACTGAGCTTATTGATGTTTAAAAACCCCGTATGCTGGATTTTCATCAAAACTAGTTGACCTACTTCAAAATTTGAGAATTTAGGGTGGCCCTTCTTCCAATGCTGCGCCAGGACACTTTACAGAGGTGGATCAGCTTGGAGGCAGTGAGCCCTGGTTAGCAAAAAGCTAGAGGGAGACATATGAAGTTCTGAGTGCAATGTATTATTATACACTATAAGAGCCTTTGGCAGTACAATATCCCAAGATAGTTCATTGCTAACCAGACTGCGCAAAAAATTCTTAATTGTACAATTCACTTGCTCAACAGCTCCATTACTAGATGGACAGAAGGGTATCGTCAACTTGTGATTGATATTGGATTGAAGGAGAAAATTAGAGAAGTCATGCGATGTGAACTCTGGCCCATTGTCAGTAAGCAAATTGGCTGGAATATGAGCAAGGCAAGGAAAAATTTGAAAATTGAAAGCTTCAATTATGGCAGCACTTGTCTTGTTCTTTAGGGGTACAGCAGCAAGCCACTTTGAGTAACCGTAAAATGGGGTAATTTTGACAATTTTTTTTTTCAAAATGATGCCATTTTTTTACTAGATAAATTAAACTTTAAGTAAAAAATGCAAAATACAGGTCTATACTCTAGGTTCACTCACCATAAATTGCTGGCTCCTGCCTCTCATAGTTTTGATGTAATTTCAAAAAAAGTGATGGTCTTTGTTACCCCAGCTCTTGGGGTTTCTTTGACTGGGTGGTAAAATCAATTTTATTTTTGGTAAAATAACTCCAAATAATTCCAGGTTTTGGTGCATTGTAGTAGAACTCTTCTAGTTACATATGCAAATAACAAATTTGTGGGAAGTGTCATAGTTTGCAAATTGGGGGTGCCAAAATGTGACCACCTAATGGCAGCTGTGACGGGGTAACATTGACTGGCTTGGAAATTAAGTTAAAATTACCATATATAAGACTCGGTTGAGTCTGAAACATGAAGAAAAAACATTAATAGGTGTATCAAACATAAAATATGTTATATAGGTACCTATGGTAATTTTAACTTAATTTCCAAGCTGGTCAATGTTACCCTGTCATGGCTGCCATTAGGTGGTCAAAGTTCCCCCCCTGGGGGGCGGTGCCCCCCATTTGCAAACTATGACACTTTCCTAAAATTTGTCATTTGCATATGTAACTAGAAGAGTTCTACTACAATGCATCAAAACCTGGAATTATCTTACCAAAAAATAAAAAAAATTGGAGGGGGTACTCCGACAGGCTTCAAATAATAGCTCTTTTTCGTGGGTCACATTATTAATTTTGTAACCTATTAGATATGCAAACTTTTTAAATCTTTCTATTGTGTTACATAGCCTCAGTATTAGGCATTTGATGGCCATTGACAAAATTTTTCTATGTCAAATAGTTTTTGAGTTTTGGGGGTTTTTGTTAAAAAAACGAAAAGTGATCAAAGTAACCCCATTTTATGGTAGTGGTCAACTACAACAAGACATCCCACATAACCCCAAGAGGTTCTGGGCAATGAGATTAGGTCAGCTGCCATGAGCTCAAATGGATAGCTTGTGCATATCTTAATTGTAGGTGGAACAAATTGAGTGGAAAATTCTTTCAAAATTTGGCAACTATGACGAGTGCTACAGACATCTTGAACAATTTGATAATGAGAAGGGTGCCAGACAAGACGTCCTATTAATTCTAGCAACTTATCACGGCCCACATGGGCAAGTTCCACATGCAATGTCAAGACCAACCCTACAAGATTCTTGAATGGCACCACAGCAACTGGTTCTGTGTCATTAAATACAAGTACGCCATGGTCAATTGACAATTTGATGCATATCGTGAAAATTTCTTGATTTTACCTGGCTAAGACTTAGTTTGGACATTCCTCTTCGAGTGCTTGTGCAAACATTTCAATACTGGGCACCCAGCCTGCAATGACCTAATAGTTTCAGGGTCAGTGAGCATGGAAATACCCGTGACTGTTAGGAGGTTCCCTTGAACTTCAAAATGCAAGTCACTCATCCCCTGTCCAATTCTGGACCCAGTTGGCACACTTCTGACTGAGAGGACTGGAAGCCTAACCATGTCATGCATATTCCTAGGCATAAGGCCAGAAATGACTTTACCACCTTATTTACAGGAACAGCCATTCATATCAATTGTGATATCATGTTGCAGCATGAAATCTAGTCCCAGCAAGAAACAATGTGGCACAATCCCAAATTAATTGCATAGTTAGTCTTGTAACTCTTGTTTCTTTGTCCAAGTAGGCTACATATACCTACTATAACTATATATAGTATATTATATAGTAATACTAATATAGCTACTCAATAACTCTCATTTGGTTGTTATTCATCAATTGCATTTGCATGAAGTATTTAAGTATACAATCTTCCAAAAGTGATCATTTCCTGTGTTTAATCAAATTAATGTGACTGACCAAATGTTTCTCTGATACAATGACAGCTGAAAACCTTAATACTGGATTCTGCATTTTGGTGTGCTAATTTGATTCCATTTGTGATTTGTTTCCAGTATCTACATAAATAACTATTTATAGTTATTTATTGCATATTATTTTTTGATAGTTGAGCAATTAAACATATTGTTTGCTCCTGATTATTCTTTTATCATTGATATTTTCTTGAAGAATTGAAGTAATAACGTGAAGTATTTCAAAGCCAAATAAGCCATGACTTTTTATCACTTGGGAAACTGTTTGTTTTTGGCTTATGGTCCTTACTTTCTCACCTATAAATACTTTGAACTGTAAGTATGCTTTTTTACAAAATTAGATAAATCCTATTTATAAATAGGTTAGAAATATGCCTTGAAAACTGTAAATTATATATTTATTCCTAGATTATGAGGTACCTAGACTAGAATTAGGACTGAATATTAAAATTTTTTTGTAATGGTATTTGTGTGCATTATATAAAATAAGTTTGTTTAAATTGAAAATAAATTATAAACAATCAAGCTAGCATTGAAAATATCTTCCTTTAATGCTGCAACTAGAGCTTTCCTGCCATTTTTGGAACTGTAAGATTACTGCTGGATAAATTACCTCCTATATAATTATTAAAAAATAGAAATAATTGCATGATCAGGCCCCAAGACTTCAATTGTATTGAAAATCTGCCATATTGTTGCTGAAAGATGTCGGAAACAAGAAGGAAAATTCCCATTTAGCAATACAGTGATACCTTAACTTATAAACAACTCCATGTGCATTGTGCCACCTTCTCCAAGTACAAACCAGAAGTTTGAGAACTTTTTTGCTTCTACATATGAACATGTCTCTGCTCATTAACCATATTTCAGAACCAATATGGTGCTTCCAAACCAATTCAGTGCTATATTTCATTAAATTATACTAATATACATTAAATAAAATATTCTTTTAATATACAAAATTACCAACCCCATCACTAAACAAAATTTTTAATTTTTTAGAGTTAAAGGATTTCTATGCTAGTCAAATTTTTACTTTGATTGCTGTTCTCTGGTTGAAGAACTTGCAGGATTCTCAATTTATGTTATACAGTTGTGCCAAAATCGCCAAATGGCTGATTCTATGGGATCAGCAGCCAGGTTGCCAATTCTGTAGAATAGCATTTCTATACTGTAGGAATTGTGAGTTAGGTCAGTCATTCAAGTTTTTTTTTATTATTGAAATATAAAGGAACTTTTCCAAACTTGACCTAACCTTTTCTAACTCTGTCAATTTATGTTCTAACTCTAATGTCCAATTTTCTGAATCAGCAACAAAATGCTGTTTCCTTAGAATCAGCAAACTGGCTGCTGATTCCATAGAATTTTCCATTCCTCAATTTTGGCACATCTATTTACATATATAAATATACACACGCACAGTTTCATGTCTCATTGTCTTTGCTTTGCAATAATGTCATCTACAGTGAAGAGTCCTGCTTTCAAGTTTCTTGTATATAAAGTAATTGTATCATAAAACTGTTTCATTATATTACAATTATTTTTTACTGCTACTTTAAGCAGCTCTTTCATTAATTCATTATTCTTGATTGCAAACTCTTAGCTTAGCTCATGTTCAGAGGCTATTTAAAGTTGCAGTTAAAGCTTTGGTCAATTACTTATTTTGTATTACTTTCCCTAGTAAATAATTACATTTTCATTTATTGCTAACAGCTTTTGTAGCCGTCTCTTTAACAAGAATAATTTCTCAGGTCTGAGTATGGAGCTTTCTGGAAGTGTGTTCAAGTGGGAGGAATGTACCTGCTCACTCAGCTCTGCAAGATGTTGTTGCTTGCAACATTCTTTCCTGCAGACTTACCTTCACCTGCAGGAATTTCATTGTTGACTGTAAGCTCTTTAAAATTGGATTCTTATGATATGATCTTCACTTATTTATCTCAAATATATATATATTCCATAGTAACCTATTCATAATAAATTAATTGAATCTGTTGCTTAATACATATACTGTTTAACCCATCATAATCCTAATAATTTTGGTTATTTCTATGCATGCAATTTTTTCATACCTTTGCACTCATTTTAGCTCCTGGCTCCTCAGGTAGACACTATTATGCAAATACCAGTAATTGGGTGCTGTAATTTACATGAAGCTAGTTTTTAAAATTTGATTTAGTTGGTTAGACTTGAATGTTAAGAGATAATGTCCAATCTTTAACAGTTAGCTTTTGGTTTGTGTAACCTGAGAAAATTAAATGATCAGTCATCTCATGTTGTCTCTTTTTGAGTTTATGTCCCTAAATGACAACAAACATATAAATTATTCTGGAATTTTTCATGGCTCAACTTTTTTGTATTCAAGAAGGTAAAATGATTGTTACTTTTTCAGGAAATCTTCAAATCTACAATGGATTTTGGTGACCTTTTTGCCATCAGTTTAGTGCTTAGAAAAATATCAGCATCTGGACCCATTAAGGTGAGTTTAAAGTTATACTTGTTAATATAGGTTGATGGCATTGCTTCATTTCCAGAATTTTTGTATTATATGCATGTTCAGGACTTTTTCATGCTTTTTGGCAAAAATTCAGGATTTTTCAGGTTCAGGATTTCAGGATTTTTTCAGGTTTGGCAAAAAAAAATTATTCTAGCTAATACCGGTAATGTTTGATCTGACTTTTTATATTGTGTGGGCCAAAAAATTTGTATTTTGTAAAGGTTATTATTGTTTTTAGCATATATCAAAACAAGGGAAGAGCAACAGAAGTTGAAATAAGGCTTATTGATCATGCAAAATTATGAGTGGAGAAAATCTGTTCATAGCCTTCAAGGATGTCTAGTAATGTATTTATTTATTATTTAATCAATAACTTATCTGACATTCAATCAGGAATACAGTAAAAAATATTTTGAGACTAAACCAAATTTTCTTCATCTGCAGGTGCTGATTGCAGGTCTAGGGTGGTCCACTGCTGATATGGTGCTCACAAGGGTTCTGCCTTTATGGGTGGGCGCCCGAGGCCTCCAGTTTGATTGGAAATACATCATCATGAGCCTGGAAGCCAATGTTGTCATGGTCAGCATCTACACGTCACTTATTATACCTGCATTCTCTGTTGATGAAATTGACTTTATTTTATTTTTCTCATTTATTTATGTGCTCAATTTCTATTAGTTGCTATTTATGTGGTTTCTGTGTGAATAGAACCCATAAATGTCAAATTCGCTTGCTGAAATGTTGAAAGTGAAGTAGAATATCAGTCTAATGATCCTACAGGTCCACCACCTGGCAGTGACAGCCTTGGTGTATCTGTGGTCGCGCACTGACAGCAGTTCACCACACCGACCACTGCTGGCACTACTTGCAGTGTGCAGCGTCTACTGCCCACTACTGCCCGCCATCTACACTGCCGTGTTGGCAGGCTCAGCACCCACAGCCTTCAATATGCTCCTCGCCTCCTCCGTGCCCTCACTCTTGCTCTCGGCTGCATCCCTCACTCTCCTAGTGCAGCAGTGTCCTTCATAAAGACATTGTACCATATCGTCATAAAAAACTTGTCTTGAATCTTGTACCATATTGTTGTGCAAGGCTTAGCTTTCTGTAGAGTTTTGTTTCGCGTATCTTCAAACGTTCTCTTGTGAAAATTAATCTTGAATAACGTTAATAAAATTTCGGGTTTATTACCTCTCGTACAGCTTTGATCATTTTAGCTTATATTGTTTTGTTGAAACTAGAATGCTCATGTAAGATTTTATTAAAATTGAAGTCAACAACACATCTTTCCCCCCCTCGTTGCCAACCTCACTGCAGTAAATGCACTTTGTATCGCTGCAGTATATGTACATTATAACATCGCTTCGGATGGTAACTTAATTTTAAGAAACCTGGCATGTATTACAATTGTGTATTTCATTATTTCAACTTAGTCTCTCAATCTTCTTGTTAAATTATATGTCAACTTGTGTAAATTTTCTTATATATTTATGGTACTAGTTATCCGAGGAACTTCTTTCGCATCATTTATTTTCTGCACTCGTCATTCCAGATAAGTTTTAGCAAGGATTTTTTCATCTGTTTCTTTTCTGGGGATACACATACTATTTAGCTTGAATATGAATGACTTGATGAATATCGCTGTGAAAATCATCTTCATAATTGTAGAGGAAGGACAACAGGTTTATAATGAAAAATTTGAATTTAAAGTGAATATTTTATTTTGATGCAAGTAGCTTTCAGTGAAACTACGGGCCGAGCCAAATTGGAGAAGGTCGTATAGTGTGCTAAAGTTTCTGCAGAAAGAACTGTTGACATGGGGCTGAAAAAAATCTAAATTTATTCACCATTGCATGCTATCGCTGAAGAAATATATGTATATTATGGTGTTTACAGTCTCTGAAGTAAGCAGCCTAAAAAGACAGCTGTTGAACAGTAGCTGGGTGAGGCAGGAAGATGGCAATGCTGGCATTGTTTGAAATAGCTCTGGCGGTAAGAAACGACCAAAACTTGTTGAAAAACTTATAACGCTAAAACCTATAAATGTTCGACAAGTCTTTCAGTCCAAGAAACTTTCTAAGGTCCGAACGCTATTATATAGACTTGTTGAACAATATTTGTGAAAGAAAATTCTAGCATTAACCAACATTGCATAAGAATTTTATATTATGGATTGGTGTATAAAATCGGTGTATAAAATGAAATTTACAAGGAAAATGAACTTAACAGTACCGGTACTCTGCTCTACTGAAATTCATAGCTACTTATATTAAAATTTGCCTCGGCTCTACATCTAACAATTTTGTCTCGACGACCGCGATCAAACAACTTGGAGTTCAGCATTTATCTATCTCATGAAACGTGACTCAACTTGTTGAATGGCGACGAACAAAATTTTCCTGTAAGACAAATAAAAGCTCAACTGTGAAGTTGATATCCAGCAATGCACAAAAAAATTCAAGTAAACTAAGTTAAAGTTAAACCTGAGATACTAAAAACGTTGAAAGAAATGAAATAATATGCTGATGAGATTCATAAGTCCATATAATACAATTTGAGGGAGTAAATTACGCTCACAAGATTCACATTTGAATAAGGCTAAGATATTTACTAACCCAGTCGCTTCGTACACGTCAGCAACCATCGAAATTCCAATAAAAAATTTTAAAATGTTTGATAATGACAAATATTCATGGTAGATTGGCGAATCAAAATTTTATTTTACATTACTTGACAATTGCCGTATAATATCAAAACTCTTAACTTCCTAAACGAAACTAAACTCCAAATTAACTTGTTGTAGATATCGTCACTTACACTAATCGCACAAGACACGTCGAGCATTAAACAACATGAACACACATAATCCATTTATCAAAGTACCAAAAAATAGGTTATAAAGATCCATGGAAAGCACAACTATCATAAAACCGCTAAGCTTATACAGGATAAGGCATAGATCAATCTATTGAGAACACGATTCAGTTAATAATAGCACGTAATTGAGAACAGAAATCGCCTGGATGCTTGGGCTGAAGCTGAACCTGTAGTGCGCATCGTGAAGAATGACGATCAGATGTAGAGCTTCATCAAGGCAATCTTCAATTTACAAGAAACTCGAGGGTGTAGATGGGAAAAAAGTTCTATTCAGTAACTACTTATCTTGATCTTTCGAGGAACAACTTTTCCTTATTCGTCCTCCTCAATAAAAGTTCGAGAAAGAAAAGTTTTTTTTTTTCACTAGAACTTTTCTTGACATCAATGAAGGCACTACAAAGCCTCAGTTTCAGAGCCAGCATCCAGCCAAGGGATTCAATCAGACAACTCTTAGTTAATATTGCGTAGGAAGTTGCGAAATTCAAGGACAGATCATGTGTTAGTAGTGTTAACAGGTGCTTAAATTTAGTATTTGAAGCTAAGTGCATCTCATTAAATCAGTTGGTCCATGCACTCTGTACTGTAATTATTCCTAAAGCTAATTCGTAACTAATGAAGAATTTCACGTCTCAGTGGCGATCACAATTCCTCTCTTAGCTCAAAATTATGTTGCCAAATGAGCATAAATAACATCAAGTTAATTTCAAATTGTATGCATTGGCGTCACTTCGGTCTGCTTCAATCGAAGCAGAACTAAAAACGCTCGCTGCTCTGCTGACGCCGGCGGTTGCGATCAAGAGTCTCTGAGTTGCGCAAGAAAATCCCTTGGGCGGTATCCTAGAATCGGTCTTTGGGAAGCGTGGACATCTCGGAACTGTCCCTGAGATACTGCAGGTCTTGCAGGTCCATGAATTTCTCCTGGTCTTTGATGTGAGCGTAGTTAGCAGCCAGGCACATCAGGTAGTGGATCTGCCAAACAAAATTACATGAATTTGACTGATTCTAATGTTTTGCTTCCTCACAGAATCGAACCAAAACCACACATGTCTTGGGGGGGGGGATCAAACCACTGGCACATTCAGAAGTAATACAGCAAACACTTCAAACAACTCGCAAGATAGGTGCAGCCTTTTTAATATTGAGGAGGATGAATCTTTTTACATTTTAAGAGCCATTTAGAAACTTGCTGGAATACTGCTTGAAATACGGTAAAAGCAATGATTTTACCGTATTTCAATGCTGTCGGTTTTGATGCTTTACCTTGACCCTACATAAAATTACTGAGTCCCCACCCAAGAGATAAATGGCTACCAATATTTAATTCTGGAATCAGATTAACTTAGACAAAGAAACATTCTCGAACAAGTCAACTAAAACCTAATTCTAATTTGGCGAAAAGAATAACGATTTACTTCAGTGAATGCTTATGAATGTAATTTCGTGTAAAGATAAAATCAGAAGATAATGTCAGAAATTGATAAATACTCTTCAAGTTAAGCACTATCGAGCATCGACTAGAAATGACGCTAGGATTGCGCTTCACGATGCAAGGCTCACCAAAGATAGGATGACCACGATCGTGGCGCTGGTGGCGATGATGAACATAACCTCGGCGTTATTGACGAAGTCCTTGCAGAAGAGCTTCCTCTCCCCCTGACAAATTCTCTTGTCTTCCTCAGGAGTGCTTCCGGGGAACAAGAAACCTGAAAGACCCATAATATAAATTATTCGAATTATAGGTATTGAGTAGAAATCAATTATAGAGCAACCTCCGGTCAAACAGAAATTAATCGATTTCCAATACATATTCTACCAATTTTCTCTGGGATGAGACGATGTACACGGAGTTGGACTAGAACATTTTAATTCATCTCCAATTGCAATTAATTTGCATTCATATGGTGAGTCGTGGTAGTAGATACTATTATTTCAATGCCTACGATGGTAGACCAAAATTGACTGTGCTGGTTGTAATGACTCACCAAGATGGTTGCATTGAATCACTGAGCTGGTTGTAATCAACGTCCTGGTTGTATCGACTTTCCGAGCTGGTTGTATAGACTCACCGAGCTGGTTGTATAGACTCACCGAGCTGGTTGTAATCAATGCACTGGTTGTATAGACTCACCGAGCTGGTTGTAATCAATGCACTGGTTGTATAGACTCACCGAGCTGGTTGTAATCAATGCACTGGTTGTCAGGTATGACGCTGCACTGCAGCCAGGCGATGGAGTAAAGCATCGTGACGAGCAGTAGCCCTGCGAACACCGCCAGCCACACTATCACCAAGATGTACGCTAGCGTCATGAACTGTAAACAAATAAAACTATGCAATACCACACAGAATACTGCGGCAGTAAAGCTACGATGATAAATGGTTGAAAAAGTGAGTTTAGTGCCATGCTTGTAAGGGGGACACAAAAAAGTAAAAAGTAATCAACATACCAAAATAAATGTGATTAAATCAATGTGTATGAAGAAACACAACATGAGCATTTAACATTGATAAATTAAATTACTAAATCAGAAATATGCCGGGCAAGTTAAATGTGCTGCGACAGACAAGTGTCAATTACACGAGGTATTTCATGTGATCAGTGGTGATATTTTTGAATATGTGGCTTACTCTGAGGAGAACCGCTTCCCACCAGAAACACGCTTTCACGACAGTTGATAAATTATTCAACCCAGGTAATGTATAGAATAAATAGAAAGGTTGTCAAATAGGGACGGTGGCAATATTAAATTGAATGACAAGTCGGCGAAAATAACATAACATAGTGATCTCGGCGCTGAAGTGTAGGCCTGATGTGGCCTGTCGCCGATTCTTACTTTTCGTGCCTTGTTCACAGAAGACCAAAAATCGTGTCATTTGACCGGATCTTTTCAGGACAGACGATAGTTTGAAGTAGCTACTAGACTTGATAGGATCGCGTTAATATTTGAAATAAATGTTTATAATCTTGATGGACCATCACTGACGAGAGCACAGGAGATGCGGCCGCCCACTCTGCCGCGCCAGGAAGCGTAGACTCGAGCGCGGGTGGCGCCCGTAGACAGGCAACCCACGAAGAGGATCATTAGCGCTAGGCCCCCCATGCTCGCCCCCACCACCAGGAACGTCAGCTGTACCGGCTGAACCCTGCAATTGTTCATTAGTATAGTCAGAATTATCATCATCTTACTCAATAATTTAATTATTATCAATTTGAGAACTACATTTCGAGTTGACATAAAAAATTCGCGGTTAGTATGAATGTAAGTCATAAGCAGAATAAAACCAGTGAAATAATAATTTCAAGAGCGACGGCGCGCGGATGTACATTTTTTTCTAGTCGATTTATCTTCTATTCCATATTATATTCTATTCGTTCCAAATATTTTCAGCAGATCAACATTTTTCCCTGTTTGGTAAGTCGGGACCTCCTATCATACACAGGACAACCAATATAATTATTTCAAACTAATTTAGTCAAATTTTTTTGTTGGTTGGAATAAATAGCTGAAACCTGGGTATCTAACAAAGAAAAAATTATGTTATGTCTCTTATGAAGGAAAATAAGGTCGTTTACTTGAATTGCTCGTACGTCAACGAGTATGTTGATGATAACGTGTTCAACTATTTTTTTCTGCTAAGATTTTCCGACAGGCGAGCCTTTCGAGGATATCGTGCAATAGTTTAGACTTTAGATTCATCTCAACAAATCTAAGGAAGATACATCTCACCTAGCAACATCCTGCCAGACCCGAGAGCGCTCGACTTCAAATACAAACGTTACTGTAGTCCTCTATAAGAATATAAGGCTTTCAAAGTAAATATAATTATGTTTAGCAATAAACACGTAAACATCGTAGTCAAGTATAAAAAATGCACATAACTGCGGTTGAGAATCATATCTTGTAAGAAAAGGTTGAATGGACAGCAGCATTGTTTTGAAACTTGAATATTGAGCAGATAACCACCTTTACGATCATGCAGAAAAGAAACAACAAACAAAAGTAGAGTGTACAAGCAATTTAGATTCCTGGCGTAATTCATACGTCAAGCAGCAAACAAATTATGTATCATTACACTTCCGCAGCCCCTTAGTTAGTGATAATAATTGAACACATAAAGTCTGCTTCAGATTCTAGCAAGGAAACTAGAGCAAGGCAAGGTAGGCAGTCTGGCTGAACTCCCAATAAGAACCTATTAAAGTCCTGACTTCCTGTGCGTAATGATCCTGCGCTGGTAAGGAGCTGCATGCAATGCAACTTTCCTGTGCGACCCGTGAGTTGTGGCAGGCTGGCAGGCTGCTATTACCGTGTTATCAAGAATAGTTAAGAGTTCGTAATTCCGTCAGCCAATCACTGACGGCTTTTCAAGCCATAATCGCAAATCCAAGACGAGAAATCAGCCGCTACGTGTACTTAAGCGGGATTTGATAGTACAGCTCATGATCGAATGCTTCGCTTAATTTATGTATCGATACTGAAGCAGGTCACAGGTAAATTCGTTGACAATAAAATTAACTGTAAAGCATTCAGTATTTTATAAGTTAGTTAGTTAGTTTAGTGGCCAAATGTTTACAACCGCTTCAGCTATTTAGCTATCTCGCACCGAAAGTCAAGATGAACATCACCATAGAGGTGGAAGGTCTCAATTATTCATCACCCACAAAGGGCGGAAGGTCTCGGATGTCCAGACCGCTGAAGCTGGCTCGAAAGAAGCAGCGTTAGCATCTCAAAGAGACGAAGTGACAAGGAGGGACAGGTGAAAAGCAACAGAAACGAAGACACTCGAACAAGAGGTCGCTTACACGGGACGTCGGCCGCCCGCACGAGAGAGACGAGTAAAAAAAGAAGGGAAATGTAAGGAATCCTACCTACATAATAACTTAACCCCACAACTGAGACCTACAGTCAGACACCGCGAGCTCAGCGGTGGGGCGCTCAGGAACAATCCCCAGTATTTTATAAACTCCTGTACCTAGTGAATTTATGAACTAGGTTGCTTGTCAACTAATGCTATGAGTTTAGAATTGGCTACCGTACGTTCAATGAATTTATGCTGTCTAATGTAAATCAACAGCAGCAAAAAAACCCATAGAACGATATCAGGACAATCGATTTGGAAATTCAGGAAAAAACTCTAAATATCAATAATAATCAATAGAAAACTTGTAACTAACCCATAATAATATGCTTAGGGTAAGCAATTTCTGGTTGAAAACTTCTGCTATTTTTTATGAACGTGTTGAATAATTACCATAAATTAAAAAGTATTCCTCACTAACTGTTGAACCGAACGGAATACTTTGCAAAATTATTGCTTGCTTGCGTGAATAATTGCACTAACTGATTATTATCAACTGAGCCATGCACGGATAGAAGCTAGAAGGCGTTGTCCTACATTCTAATGTGCACAGAAATAAACATGAATGAGAAGATAATTTTCTCACTACGCGAAAATCATGCATAAAAATAACAAATAATCTAACGTAAGAAACAATTAAAACGCAGAAAAACAAATCATGCAACGAGAGCAAAGGTTGACTCTCATAAACAATAGAAGTGTGATTCATTAGGAATAGTGTGAACACGCATGCGAATATTTAATTAAAAATTACTTACGTTACAATGAGCACATCATTACACGAACAACCATCAATACTTTATTCACGACGTCATATCCATTGCTCTATTCATCATGCACACACTAGTCGCCACTAACATCAGTCTGTATCATACACATTAGTATGCACGATACACATTAGTATGCATGATACACATTAGTATGCATGATACACATTAGTATGCATGATACACATTAGTATGCATGATACACATTAGTATGCATGATACACATTAGTATGCACGACACACATTAGTATGCATGATGCACAACTCGAAGCAGCGTTAAATGAATTAGAGTTACCTCGCCGAGTGTCGGTCCCTACACTCGTGAGTTGCACCACACCGTACCCCCAAGCAAACAAAAACATAAGTATAAAACATAAATATGGTTACAAAATAAAATATTAACATATGGTTACAGAGAAGTGCGTACACTTCAAAATAAAGAAATAAAGCTTATAGCTATATCAAGAAGCTCATGAAAGAAAATTGAGAAGCAATAAATTGTGCTACTACTGCATGGAAAAGGTGGAATGTAGAGAATACCTACAGGCTAAGCAAGAAACTATATTTCAGATTTATTCTAACCAAAGACACCTGTGAGCCTATCACTACAAGCTGTCAAGCAATATATCTAACACAACACGATAGTAAATACGTCAACATCTCCTGGAGTAAACTTGTTATATTTAATAACTATAATATATAAATTATAAATAAACATTCCTACTACAACTCTGAACAAAATTACATAAATTAATCACATCAATCAATCGGAAACGTCCTGTAAAACATAAAATGTAGCTTTTTCACCAATAATAAATACAGCATGCCGAGAAAAATTTTATATGTTAAGCCCCCACATCATTGAATAAATAAATATAGCGAACGTTGATCCGCATCGATATGTTACACAACACTGACTAAATAAATAAGAAGCACCTAGCACTGTACAGATGAGTGACACATCACTGAATAATTAAATATGAAGAACCTAGAACCGCAAAGATATGTTACAAATCACTGAATAAAATAAATATGAACGTAAAGCCGCCTCGATATACTGACCACTCAATCTGGAGACGGAAGACCTCCTGCAGCATGCGCATGGTGAGCGTGGTGCCGCGGTACATGGTGCCGCAGAACACGCCCACCCCCACGCAGCACATTACCGTCGCGATCAGCGTCGCGTACGGCACGCGTGACATGCAGTCCTGGCATCCTGATCCTGAAATGGGTGAGGAAGGAGGGTTAGGATAGAACACGGGCTCGAGGGTTGGGGTGGATCACGGGCTCGAGGGTTAGGATAGAACACGGGTTGGATGAGATCTGCAAGGGTGAAATGCGGGTTGGAGGGTTACGTCGGAACACGAGATAGAGGGTCACTGTGAGTGAGGCAGAGACTGGCGGGTCAGAGTGAGGCAGGGACTGTAGGGTCACAGTGAGGCAGGGACTGTAGGGTCAGTGAGGCAGGGACTGTAGGGTCACAGTGAGGCAGGGACTGTAGGGTCACAGTGAGGCAGGGACAGTAGGGTCACACAGTGTGGCAGGGACTGTAGGGTCACAGTGAGGCAGGGGCTGTAGGGTCACAGTGAGGCAGGGACTATAGGGTCACAGTGAGGCAGGGACTGTAGGGTCACAGTGAGGCAGGGACAGTAGGGTCACACAGTGTGGCAGGGACTGTAGGGTCACAGTGAGGCAGGGGCTGTAGGGTCACAGTGAGGCAGGGACTATAGGGTCCCAGTGAGGCAGGGACTGTAGGGTCACACACAGTGAGGCAGGGACTGTAGGGACACAGTGAGGCTGGGACTGTACAGTTACAGTGGGGCAGAGGCTGTAGGATCACACACAGTGAGACAGGGACTGTATGGACACAGTGAGGCATGGACCGTAGGGTCACAATGCAATGAGGCAGGGGCTGTAGGGTCACAATGAGGTAGTACTAAGGAAACCCTGAATCCCTGACAGTGCATGCGGTTACTAGAAGCATGGGTTGGTCATCACGAAGCTGAGATTACAGAGCGTCAGGTGCTGTTCACTGTACCGTATAGGTCAAGCACGAGTTAAAACGTGTAGGTGAGTGTTCACTAGTCTTGGCTGATTATTTAAATCACATCAGTTACAAACAAAAAAATAATAAAATATAAATTAAATTACAACCGTACAGTTTGCGCTAAAATAACTTCTGTGTGTGCATAGAATCGAGAGCAAAGCCACATATCCTTAGAAATGAAAATTAAGCGTTTATACACAACCAAGAACATGAACTACAGAGAGCACCCGCTCCAATGTAATTTAGATAAAAAATGAAAACAAATGTTCGGTTTACATTCCTAAATTATCAGTTCCCCCGAAACCTCTAAAAGATGTACTACACAAAAAAAATCATTGAATCTTTCACGTCTCTGCATTAATCATTGAAATATTTCAAGCTCAACTATCGGAATTATAAGAAACATTACCCACTTGACACATCGCAAGTTACGTCTTACTCAGACGCTTCTACAGAGATACGAGGTATGCACGCAACGCTATGGACGCTGACGACGCTTTGGGCAGCTATGACGGAAATAGCCGCACCAGACACAGCAAGACTTCTCTGAGCGGGCACCACAGCGTACCCAAGTTGCTGCGAGCTCATTTTTGAGCAGCTCTGCACCACTTACGAAACTAGTTGCCCGTCTAAAGCTTTTTTATAAAATTCAATTGGTAGTCGAAAATTTCCGTTGAATGATTTAGAATTTACATGGTTAGCAGGAAAGCCCTACATCCGTGGCGAAACTATTGCTTTTCTGATGCATTTTATGGAATCAAAATGGTGGTAGGAAGGTTCCTGTGAATCATTTACAATTTACTCATTAATTTAGTTTGAAATCTAACACGGGAGCTATTTCAAGTTTTCCAGTCGCTTCTATGTGAACCAATCAAAAAATCACTATAAGTAGTTCGCATAATTGAAATAAACCGAACTTTTCGATGAGCATTTATAGTAAAATGGATAAATAAAGCAGTGAACATGTTGAAGATATATTCTATCAACGTAAAGCTAGAAAAGTTTAGCCAGTAAAAATATAAAAATGCTTTGATCGCGGAAAATGCTCCTCATAATAATTATCTATTTTATAACAAGTTATCCGAGCAAGTCGTAGAATAGTTCTTGTCAATATTTTCATAAAAAAATTAGACCCAGTTTCAGAACCTCGTATAATAATAATTAATTTTTCCATTACCAATGTTTTAGTACAAGTTAATACAAACACAAGCTCTGTACGCCTAATATACAGTGGGGGGAAATAAATATTCGTACACTTGAAAAATCGTATTTTAATGTATGTAAGTACACAAACTTAACAGGAAAAGTGATTTAAATTATGTATAGAGACGCATAGTATTCAAAAATACTATCAAAAGAAATTAAATCTCAATGCAACAAGAAAAGTGAACATGTTGCATTGTTTTTTGTTGCATTGAGATTTAATTTCTTTTGATAGTATTTTTGAATACTATGCGTCTCTATACATAATTTAAATCACTTTTCCCGTTAAGTTTGTGTACTTACATACATTAAAATACGATTTTTCAAGTGTACGAATATTTATTTCCCCCCACTGTATAAATGGCAAATAGTGGAAAATATGATCTCACAGTCCGGTAACTCTCACGCCGGTGATGCTAGTCGCCTCAATATATTGGTCATTACGCAGCGGTAATTACTGCACTTAAGTGCACTTAGAGAACAAGGATTTAGGTCGCTTGTGGGACTACGACTTCCTGACCTGCTTCCTAATTACAGCAAGAGAGTAAGCGTTTGTAAGAAAACATAAAACTGTATGCATAAACAGGAGACGCATATTAGTCGCGATGGCGTAGAATATTGTGTAGTGTTACACTTTGTTTAGAGTAACATTCTGTGAAAAGAAAATGACTATTGCTGATTTTGAAGCCACGAGAAATTATGTAAGTTTGATGATAGATTATCTTATTAATGAAAGAGTTCGAATATTTGAAATAAAAACAGATGAGCAGACGATACGTTAAATAAAAAACCTTTCGCCCATGACAAGGTTATGATTGATTGAATCTAGTTTCATCGTTTAAATTTAATTTCACTGTATTTTCTACTATCGATAGATTTAAGAATGACGAGTAATTTAAAAACTGAGCCGACCAAGTATAATTCGCTTACAAGCATTACACTCCCGAATATCGGCAACTACTACATCTTCCAGTATGATGAAAATTGCGATTCATGAGGAAAAACAATGACGCGCGAAAAAATAAAACCACCGGGAAGCTATTATTTCGACAGATGGTTTCGGCAATAATTCGTCGGTATTGAAGGAATACGTGCAATGTTCGTATAGCTGATGCAGAGGAATCACTGTCGGACGTCTGGCTAACACGGTTAGCTAGCAGGGCAGCAGGTTTAGCGAGCTAATCTTTCCTCTCAGCTTCGAACAGAAACAAGAAATCCAATGAAAAAACAGAGATCTGCAAGGGTGACCTCTAGCATAGTGGCTTCTCAGCGGGTTGCTTGACTGGCTTATAGCTTCTCAACTTGCGAATTTCTGTCAACGCCAAAGCAAAACTAGAAGAATGTGAAATCTTCAAATAAATATAAAAAACGCAGCAAACAGACGTAAACGGGCTTAGTTCGAACAGATGTCCTGATAACAACTTGCGGCAACTTTATGTAAATCAAGAATGTAGTAAAGCTTAGGCGGCGTCCACTGATAAGGATATTATCTAAAAATGTATAAAACGTAATCGGGCGCAGGCAAAATTTTAATTTTAACAGAAAACACAGCTAAGAATTGAATATATAATTGTCTACTCCAGCAGTAAGGTCACCACTACAGTCACCATGCAGCTTATTCCGGTGTTAATATGCATAAACAGGAACGCGCAGAAATTTGGTAAGGCTTAATGTCTGCTTAATTCAGTGGTTCCCAAAGTGGGCGATATCGCCCCCCTAGGGGCGATGGAAAGATTTTTGGGGGCGGTAAAGAAGAAGAGGGTGATAGGGGGGCGATAGGGGGGCGACAGTCCGAAGTCAAAGTCAGAAGTTCGAACGTTTGTTTGATTTGTACACAACACGTGCAGCACATGACTCCCAGCGATGGTTTTTTTCAACCAGATCTGTTTTTTGGGCATTTTCTCATTTATGGAAAAAATACACTATTGTGCTCGCCATGTCCGTCCGTCTGTCTGTCCGTCCGTGACTTCACGTTTTCGTCGACGAGAAAATGCGCTCTCTGTCACGCACTGCAGTGAGTACTAAGTTATAGTCCGTCCGTGACTTCACGTTTTCGTCGACGAGAAAATGCGCTCTCTGTCACTCACTGCAGTGAGTACTGAGTAATATTTTTTTAACCTCTCGTGGGTTTACGTCTCCGACAAATTAACGGCCGGACTCGCGGCCGGTCTCACGGCCAATTTCCAAATTCAATTATCAAGAAATATCTCTCAAACTAATGAACTTAACTCGATGAAACTTGATACACGTATTCATTAGGACCTAACGGAAAAATTTTTGTGAAAATTTTTTGAATTTTGCCTTCAATTGTTTTTGCCATACTTATATGGCAATACGGGCCGAAATTCACAGTGATCAAGGAATTTCTCCCATACTACTGAACAGATTCGAACGAAATTTTGAATTTACAGTCATAAGTACCGAACGATTATGTTTAGTTCGTGAAAACTTTTCGCTTGTGCCCTCGTTCGCGAGTTTCATTCGTGATTTAAACAGCAATACGTGCTTAACTTCGCAGTAATCAAGAAATTTCTTCCAAACTAATGAACAGATTTGAACGAAATTTAGTATTTTAATACCTAACCTCAGCAACGGTGATGTTTAGCTCGTTACAATTTTTTCGTTTTGCCTTCGTTTGCGAGTTATACGGCTATACGTAAACGGCTCTTGGTTAAACCAGCCGGTAGAAAAGCCGGTCGTTCCTCCTATATCTGTAACTTTCTAACGAAAGCGAATATGGAAGTGTGAAATCAAGAATGACGGTGAAATGAAAAAAAAAAATCTCGCAAACGACGGTATAATCAAAATTTTTTTAATATAAAAAACACCATTTGGTAGTTAGGAATGTATATTCAAAAATTCGTTCAAATCTGTTCGGTAGTTTGGAAGAAATTCTTTGATCACTGCGAATTTCGGCGTGTATCGCAATATAACTCATGAATGAAGGTGATATTTAAAATTTTTTCGCAAGC